AAAGATTGCATCTTAACAGATTAGTTTAATCAAACTGAATAAACTATCATTGACAGAGCAGTCAAATCACAGAGAGAGAGAGATAGGCCTACACATCAAATCTAAATTTAGCCTATGTCTAAAAATGGAAGCGACGTGACAATAACAAAAATAACATAGGGCCTAGCAAATAATATATATTTTTTATGATTTTTAAAAAAATTCTTTATTCTTAGAATTACTGAATAATAATCGAGGGTTATTTTAAGGTCGAGAGCGTCTTACTACTTTAGTTCAAAGTGCAATTTTAAAACATTAACTGAAGAGGTCGCCCTAACAGCATATTAAGCTTCATTCGCAGGAAAAGGAGAAGAGATGTCTATTAAAATAAGACTTACCAGACCTTCATGTGCATCTTGTCATTTACATTAAGAATTAAATAAGGCAACATATGTTCAGAACATAATTAGACAAAACATTAAAATGTTTGTATACACTTATTATTGTATTAGCTATAGTAATAATGAAATTTTTTTTTTTTAACTATTTGAATAATTTTTTAACAAAGACTAATGACATACATGACAATTTTTTAACAATTCTATAAGTGTTTTATAATTATTCTTTTAGGTATTTGAAACCACACAGTGGTTATCAGACTTTTTTTTTAAGCTGTTTTCAAAACCTTATTGTTACTGAAACTGCTGACTACATGACATTATTAGTTTGCTTACATTCAGTGTGTCCCGTTCATTCAAAGCTGTGAAATGTCAGATAATGGAATGTCTGGCACACAAATATTCATACCATTGCAGTTCTCATGATATGTTTCCTGCTATGCTACAACCCACAAATTATAATGCTAGCCCTACGCAATGTACCTGAAAATTATAAAGTGAAAGAGAAACTTTGTTTGGGAATTCACCTATCTACCCTTCTTCTGTTATGGCATTAATAAACACATGCAGCACTCCAGATTCTCATCAAACACATGATTTACAAGAAGAGCTCAGCACTGCCACTGAACTAACCAAATGTGTTCACGTGACTGGACCAGCCCATTATGAGAAACACACCTGTGACAGATTCCTGGAAATCACTGTACTTTGTCTTACAGTTCAAAACAAACTAGTTTCCCTCACTGTGTTTTACAGTACGCCGCTTTATTTCTAGTATATTTGATCCACAGTGATTAAGCATCTACATTAGTCACAAGTCAAAGGATCAAACTTATACAGGTGATACTGTAGGCTACTATTAAAGTTGACAATAGTTAGTAGTTTAGCCATCTTGTTGTGCTTTTCGTAGTTATTGGTATTTGTTTGGTGGTCGTTTGATCACATTATGCAGAAATTGTGGACGATAAACTTGCAGACTGAAAGTGAAACTGTTTTGTTGTCAATATAGACTACAACCTCCATGTGTTCTGGCTTCACAACCCTTCCTGGTCCATTTTTATACAGAACACAAGACAATACAAAGTATACTATTTTAATCTTTTAAATGATCATTCTTTTTTAAGTCAGTCAAGTTCAATGACAGCTTAAACAGAACGGTCTGCTCATGCATTATCACAACTCACACAATTGCTTTCGGTTTTATTTGATTGCTTTTATTTTCGCTTGCATGCACTGGGCTTGTGTTGTTGTTGTTTTGTTTTGGAAACAATACAAAAAAAGCATTTTACACAGCTTTGTTACTAAACGTGTAAACTGTAAATATCTTGTACAGTAACAATGTGATATTTAGCATGGCTGTGCATACATTTCTAATTTTTTCACATGTGTATAGTAAACTTTTTAAAACAATAAAATTACAATTACAGATTATATAATATTATGTATTTTTATATACTTTTAACTGATTTTCCTTCAATATCTGGTCCATTTTTAATTAAAATGTTTGTTTTTATATAGAAATGTATAAATTATGCACAAACACAATCTAATAATTTAGGCATTAGATAAAACAAATTCAGTACAATGCTTCCATAACTTTGATGATAGGCTATATGATGCATCATATGAGCTAAAGGAAATGTAAGATAGCACATCATAACATATTGATAATATAATAAAAGCACAGTTTTACGTAAATTTACAGCCCCAGAGTATTAAATGTACAAATACAAGCAAATACAAAAACATATACAAGAAAAGTCTCTTAACCTCCATGACATTTCTGGTAGGTGACAAACATGGCTCCGGGCTTCACCTGGAGCTCAGACAGCTTCTTGTGCGGCTGAACAGGTTTACCATTATAGGCCAGATTCCCACATCCTAGATCTGGTCTGAGCTTCAGGACCTTCTGCTGCAGTTTCCTGATAGTGTCGATGCTCCTCACGGTCACAGAAATCTTCATGCCGTCAGAACCATTTAAGACATTCACAGAAAAGCGTTTAGGTCCTGGTGAAACTGGCCTTTGAACCTGGAGAACGGCGTGGGTGGTCTTTTCTAACGGTTCAGGGAGGGGAACAGGGTCTCCTTTGGGATGTTTGGGATCTCCTTTGACACACTGCTTGGGTCCACATGCTTCAGGCTGAAGAAGGATTGGAGCCTGAAAGAGAATCAGGATATTCAGAGAATGCTAGCATGGCACCTTATGACAACAAAACAAAACAAAAGTGACAGCATTTTCATAAGGCCATACATAACACTATCATGTTAAAAATGTACCGTTCCTATAAAATGTATTTGAAATAATCTTACCCGTGCTGCTTGAATGTCTGTAGCCATGCTGGTTTGTGCTGCCAACCATCGACAATCCAGAAATTATGTTCTCTTATTACTGATCAATTAATTTATAGTCATCTTGGGGAATGTACCTGACTTTCCATGCGTTGTGGTAAAAGTAAACATGCCCATCCCAACCCTGCTAGGTTGATTTTCATCAAACATCCATTTACAGGAACAGCATACTGCTGCGTAACTACCACAACACAAAAAACGGGAATCACCGTACTTTAGTTGCAGTCCAAAACAATTAGTTTCATAGTGTTTTATTTCATTTTCATTTTAACCAGTGGTAGTTTTTATGTGGTGATGGTTACATGATTAGGGTTCTACATCGAGTTTGAAGTCAAAGAATCAAACCTATATATAGATGACAGAAGAACTTAGTTTTCCTGAGATTGTTATTTTACTTTTGTGCAAGGCAGTCCATGACCCTGCAAACCACAGGGAAGTTAAGGGGTAATTGTAATTGTAAATACTACTTGCCAGCCTTTAATATAAGACATTGTATGTGTCAAAAATAATTGTTCTGTTAATAAACTCATAATGAGATAACCTGGATCATAACAGGCCTGTTGAATTTAACTGAGTGTTAAAACCACCTTCATATTGGACATTTCAATCTGGAAATAAATTTTAAAATGTAAATGGTGAAAAATGAAGAAATATTTAAGATTCTGCTCTATTTCTTTGGGACACTAGCATGTCTGTACTCTTTGTACAGACGATCAGATGTTCTTGCTTCAACTGAAGCTCATGACATTCTTTAGAATATCCAAGATCAAGATGGAGAACAATATCAGGATTTGTTCATGTAGCTCCAGTGCTGCTGACATGAGAGCAGCTCAATTCCATGAAGAAATTCTGAACTTCATTTGTATGTTTCATTGCAACTTTTCAAGTGTTGAACATCAACTCATATCACAGCTATCATTTTAAATAACATATTAAAATGGTATTGAATTAGAAAACAATGCAAAATAGAATTTATTTGTTTCAGATTCTTGTATTTATTTTCATTGAAACAGAAACAAATTTACATATAGTGCAAATCACAGTTACAGTGCATTTAAAAGAAACATATTGACATTTTAATCTGAAGGTTTAATGCCTCCGTTAACGTATTCATTTAGTAAATTTATTTTATAACATCTGTTCATACATGCTATGAGGTTGCATATGATAAAGGTTAATGATCAGGTTAAATAAAACACTTATTTAAGCGAAGGAAAATTTCTAATCATGTTTTCTTGCAAATAAAATATCTTTTTTGTTTCACTTTCATTTTCATTCAACAGGGCTTGTTGCATTACTGATAATTAAATCAAGTTATGTGCATCCTGATACATCTAACTAGTTAACGGTAGGCCTAATAGAAGATGTAACAAGCATAAGTTTGTATCCAAGGAACATTATGATACAGGATGATTTACCATTGAGCGTAATGACAAAATACAAGGACAATGTCCTTGTTAACCTCCATGGCATTTCTGGTAGGTGATGAACGTGGCTCCTGGCTTCACCTGCAGCTCGGACAGTGTCTGGTACAGCTGAACCGGTTTGCCATTGCAGACCAGATTCAGGCTTGCTCCGAGGTCAGGGCTGAGTTTCAAAACCTCCTGCTGCAGTTTCTCGATGGTATCAGTGCTCCTCACAATCACAGGAATCTTCATGCCATTAGAGCCATTGAAGATATTCACAGGAAAGCGTTTAGGTCCTGGTGAAACTGGCCCTTGAACCTGGAGAACGGCGTGGGTGGTGTTTTCCAGCGGCTCATGGAAAGGAACAGGCACAGTGTCTTTGGGATCTCCTTTAACACATTGCCTGGGTCCACATGCTTCAGGCTGAAACAGAAAGTATCGAGCCTGAAAGAGAACCAAGACATTAGTGACAATAAAACAAACATAAGGCTGGACACAAGTGACAAGTTACAACACTTTCTTGTTAAAAGTCATATGCAAAATGTTGGCATATTATGTTCAATGATTGTCTGCTTTAAAATGCATTTCAAACAATCTTACCAATGCTTCCTGAACAATCGTAGCCATGCTGTCTTACAAAGGATATCTTTCTGGTCCTCTGTGTTTCTTGGTGTTTATCACACTCGGTTTGCTTTTATAGATCAAATAAACACGGAAAGTACAGACTCCACCCCCTACAGTCACCTCATATAACTTGGTTACATCTTTCTGCCTGGTTCACCACAGGCCACTGGAGTTTTACAAACTATGAAAAACATTCAATATGGGTGGCTTTCTGACAGAAAGGGTTACCCAAAAACAAACCCTGACAAGTCATGAGGTTTTATTTCTCTCATTTGTTTCTTTATTATTTATTTCTTTTTATTTTAGGAGTACAACTTTAAATCACCACTTCTGAACATTATGTTTTTGCCTTCTAGGGCTGTAGTTTTTATAGTTTTGTATTGTTTTGGACTGAAAAGTACAGATCACTCCACCTCACCATGTAAAAAGTACCCAAGATACTGAAAGTGTATAAGCTTCTCAGCTAGATAAATATTACATTACCATATCTAACCGTGGAAACAGAGTGGAAAGTCCCATGGTAATACTGAAAATGAAACCTCTTTATACAAAACAGTAACAAAAAGAAAATCATTTTACATGCATGAACCAGGGAGAATTGACTGATTTATCTATAAAGATATTTACTTAAATTGTTTTTTAATATGACAATCACATAAAAAAAACATGACTGGTGACATTATCCATGAGCTTGATTTTTAATTCGTTGTAAACATATTACATCAAACCCAGAGACTTATAGCAGATTCACAACCCTACTTAGAGTCACCAATCCAACATTATTACACGTCCCTAGTATTTTCCATTGTGAGGTTCACATGTCAGTCCATTCAACAGGCACTACACGTGTACGTATATCAACAATAGCATGCTAAGATCTGATGAGATTCTCTCGCATAACTGCACTGAAACTCTCTACAAGCTGCTGTTTGTTTTCCCTGCGCCCTTCTTGACACTAGGTGGTGTTTTCTGCACCATCGAGAGCGTGTCTCTTTTCTCAATCTTCCTCAGCTGTTTCTTCTTCATTCTCTTGATCTTAGCCGTATTCTTAATCTGAAAGGGCAAAGCAGTAATGAGTTATTTAACAAAAACAAACAAAGAAGAATTCGACAGATAAAAAGTGTTAGTAACAACTGATTTTTTTTGGTGCAAATTGACATTCTGCATTTACCACTTGCACAATCTCTGCTTTTCTTTCATTTTCTGCTCGTCTTCTCAGGTTTTCTGCTCTCCTCCTCTTTTTCTCCTGCAAATTTAGATGCAGAAAAAGCACATATGACCAATGTTCACTTTAATTTAAGCTTTTAACTTCAAAAGCTGTTTCTTCTTCATTCTCTTGATCTTTGCTGTATTCTTAATCTGAAAGGGCAAAGCAGTAATGAGTTATTTAACAAAAACAAACAAAGAAGAATTCGACAGATAAAAAGTGTTAGTAACAACTGATTTTTTTGGTGCAAATTGACATTCTGCATTTACCACTTGCACAATCTCTGCTTTTCTTTCATTTTCTGCTCGTCTTCTCAGGTTTTCTGCTCTCCTCCTCTTTTTCTCCTGCAAATTTAGATGCAGAAAAAGCACATATGACCAATGTTCACTTTAATTTAAGCTTTTAACTTCAAAACTTCATGATATTGTCCACGGATCACAATGTCACCATCACCAGGTTTCTCAGAAATTGACACTTTTATTGAGCAAGGAAGCATTACATTAATCAAAAGTGAAATAAACACAGCCTTGGTGAGCATAGGAGACTTGTAACTTATCCATGTAAGTCATATGGGTGTTGGACACAATGCAATAAAAATAAAAAGGCAAAAGCGCGCAGTTTTGGTGCATAAACTCGCCTCTTTCTCTCTGGCCTGCTCATCTTTCAGCTGTTGGTGGTACTGCTTCACCAGCTGCTTCTCTCTCTTGGCCTCCATCTTCTTTTCCCATGATGTACGCAGAGGTTTGTCTCTCAACAGAGCGGAGAACCTACAAAACAAAGCCAGCGCTGAACACGTCACATAGATACCAGACAGAAGAAACACAAATGTACTAGTATTAGTAAACAGACAAATAGGAGTAGACAAGACTAGAAAAATAAGCCACAAAACAAAACGGGTTAGAAAACATAGAGAAAAAGTTGATGTATCTAAGTATTATTATGGATTGATAGACATGCAAGACCGTGAAAGCAAACACAGACACAAAAACTCCAAAATTAAACAAGCCAAGTGCTATCAGGACAGTAATAAGAAACTTTGTTTAGTGTTAATCACCTTTGCTTATTTCTGTCTTTCCATACTCTTCCAGATTTAGGTTTCCCAAGAGGTACCATCTTACTTTTCTTCTCACTGGATTCTGAGTGAGTCCTTTTTTTGGCCCTTTTCTTAGGGTCAGTGGGACCAGTGGATTCAGTCTCTGTATTATTTACCACATTTTCCTTCTCACTGGTCTGATCTGACCCTATCAAACCTGCAGTGTCCGGCACTGACTCTTGACTGACAGCTGCTGATGTAGACACATCTGGACACACTGGTTCTGTCTCTGGACTGCACTGATCGCCTTGAGTATCTGCTGTACACTCATGGGGTGGGGATTCCTGCCGAGACTCGGTGCTTTCTGCCGGATCTTCTCGCACAACAGACTTTCTGGTCCGGCGGACGGGGGTTTTGGCCGCGGGTGTCCGCAGTCTGCGACCGCTCCGTGTGCGGCTCACAATAGGAGAGTCCTCTTCGCTATCGAGAGCTTCTGCCTTTGAAACAGCATCTCCACCGTTTGTTTTCTTGTTTACAGACGCAGACATCATCAGCGTTGTGTCGATCAATACGATACAAAAATATTTCAACTGTAACAAAATCTACACGTGCATTCCTCCTGTGCTGCTGCTGCTTCTGCTTCTTCTTCTTCTTCTTCTTCTTCTTCTGTGGGCTTAATGGCGAGTTGCATACCAGCTTTTAGGTGCATATCGCCACCTCCTGTGCTGGAGTGTGAAGTGATTTCAGTCTAGGTGTGCATGATAAAATCTATATTCTGTTCTTAAAGGGCTTTTTATGCTGTTATGCTTTTTCACATTTTCAACTTTAGTTAGTCTGTAATGTTGCTGTTTGAGCATAAAAAAGATCTGCAAAGTTACAAAGTTTAAAGTCCACTTCAAAAGGAGATATTTTATTGAACAGAAATCACTTTTCAAAAACTACTACAAATGACTTGTTTGGACTTCAACGCATATTTTCCGGGATTTGTGATATCACAAAGATTGACGAATGGGACGAGACCTGGGTGAGCTGCACTAGAGAAGGCAACGAGTGTTTTCACTATGTCAAGGAACTATTCGAGTCGTTCATGCCAGACTGGGGAGAGAGGTGTCGTAATAATGTAAAATAAGTGAAAAATAATGTGTTTTTCGAACAATCTAGTATGAGAGCCTGTTCCAGTACACCCCCAAAACAAAATCAAGACTTTGTAAAAGAGCATAACAGGACCCCTTTAAGATCATTATTTTTAATGAATTTTAAAACAGCTTTTATAATTTTACCTGATCCTTGATTTGTATTTAATACATTTCTGATTGTAAATTCTTTGCATCCCATGTTGTAGACTAGAAGACAGCGCATTAGTTCAGAACTCTTCTAATTTTTATTTTTATTTTTTAAACGTAGAGAGTGTGTTAATTTGTGCAATGATAACCTACCAGCAATGTAAATATGATTTATTTAATATATTAGAATGAGTACATTACAATATAAATTTATTAGAACGAGTACATTATTATTTACGGGCTTAAAAACAAGATGTAAACATGAAACATATGCCATTACCTATATTGTACTGTGGTACAGTTATGGAGGCCCTTCATAATGCAGAGGTCAGCTGCCTGCTCTGCCAATAGTTAGAAATGGCACTATGGTAAGCAGTGTTTAATAAACAGCCGTTTTACTAAATTCTGCAGAGGTGAAATTCAGTGCAGTCCTGTATCGTGATACGTATCGTATCGTGGCCTCTGTATCGGGGCACATATCGTATCGTGGCCTCTGTATCGTGATACGTATCGTATCGTGGCCTCTGTATCGTGATACGTATCGTGGCCTCTGTATCGTGATATGTATCGTGGCCTCTGTATCGTGATATGTATCATGGCCTCTGTATCGTGGCACGTATCGTATCATGGCCTCTGTATCGTGGCACGTATCGTATC